ACAGCGGAGAGGGCGGGGGGCAGAGCGGCGTTGATTGGCTGAGGCGCTGACGCGGGATGAACGGGGCGTTCCAACGGGTCGGTGGGAGCGGGCTGGGACACCAGTGCGCTTGCGGCTGCAGCTGGCCGGGGCGTGTGAGCGGCGCCCTCGACTCGCCCTTCCCAGCGGGCCTGCAGGGGCGGGCCGGGCCGGGCCGGGCCGCGGTCCAGGCTTGCAACGTCCCGGAGCAGCCTCTGCCCGGCGCGGCGACTAGCTTTGTCCGGAGCCTTGAACTTCAGCGCTGCATTGCAGGTGGCCGCCGGCACGTTGCGACAGGCTTCCTGCGCCGGCTTCTCTCCCTGCCATGAAGTTGTGTCCCAGAGCACGTGCTGCGTCCGGGAGCCCGACCGATTGCCCGACACGTGCGTTTTCTCTCTCCCATCACGGGCCTTAAGGACAGCGGAGATGAAGCTCCTGTAAGAACCACGTGCCTGGCAGAACCACGGCGGTTCTCAGGACTCGCTTCTCCGCTCTGCTTCTCTTGGGGCCCATCAGGGCCTGCGCCTGGACAAACCTTGTGAGACCTCTTTCTTTGGGCAGGATTTTAACAGGAGGGGTTACATTTCGAGGCATTGTTTGGGGAGTTTGTTGCTTATTGGATATAATTCTATTTTAGTATTTTGTCTACTTGTTGTAATCTGGATTTTATTCTAAACCACCCAGAGCCTTTTCTGGGGTGGGTGCAATAGGAATATAATAAATAGAATATATGGGAATGGGTAAAATGCCAGAGAATGCCTGCAAATGAATCCTACTGTAGAATCATAGAAAATGAGGGTTGGAAGGGACCTCAGGACGTCATCTCGTCCAACCTGTGCTCAAAGCAGGACCATCCCCCGACTACATCATCCCAGCCACGGCTTTGTCTACCTGGGTCTTAAAAACCCTCCAAGAATGGAGATTCCACCGCCTCTCTGGGTAACCTGGTCCAGTGCTTTACTACCCTCCTAGTGAAAGTTTTTCCTAGTATCTAACTTAAACTTCCCTTGCTATAACGTGAGACCATTGCTTCTTGTTCTGTCATTTGCCACCACTGAGAACAGTCTCACTCCATCCTCTTTGGAACCCCCCTTCAGGTAGTTGAAGGCTGCTGTTAAATCTCTCCTTGGTCTTCTCTTCCGCAGACTAAATAAACCCTGTTGCCTCAGCCTCTCCTCAGAAGTCATGTGCCCCAGCTTCGGAACCATTTTCATTGCTCTCTGCTGGACTCCAACTTGTCCACATCCTTTCTACAGTGTGGGCCCAAAACTGGGCGTAATACTCCAGATTCAGAGAGAGAATCACTTTCCTCCATCTGCTGGCAGCACTCCTATTAATGCAGCCCAATATGCTGTTAACCTTTGTGCACTGTTGGCTTGTATCGTGAGGAATAGCATTCCTACACTCCAGCATCTGTAAAGATTGGGCACTTTTATCTAACAGCTGATTGAATGAGCTTTAGCTGAAAGTGCCAAAAACCCCTGCTGAAGCACCCAAGCTTTACAGATGCTGTAGACGCAGGTTGAAGTAACGCATTGCTTCTGCTGTAAAGCGTGGGGGGTTTTCTTGTTTGTTTGTTTGTTTTCTTAACATCTGCAAGCCTGGTTGTATGGGTGCTGAGCATCCGCTAATTTTTTTCAGTGGGTGCTTTAGAGCTGGAGCACCTATGGAATCAGCACCTACGTTTGCAAGAATATTGTGGGAGACCGTATCAAAAGCCTTGCTAAAGTCAAGGTATATCATGTCCACTAGGGCTGTGCAAAACAGCACCGTTCCACTTCTGTTTCCCTGGAAGTGTTTTGTTTCATTTCAAAAGCACTTTTTCTTTCTGTCAAAACAGTTTTGCTGTTTCGACATTTTACACCATAGGCTGTAACTGGGAAGCACGAAACTGGAGGAGGAGCAGCCTCCTGTGATCGCAGGCAGATCAGGGTCCTGCACCACAGGGAGAGTCCAGCAGAGCCCCGCAGCCCTCCTGGGGGTGTGGGCAGGAGGCTGCTGCTGCCACCTGGGACTGGCGCTAGGAGCTGAGCCTGCGCTCCGCCTCCCTCCACCAGGTTCAGCACCTAGCAGCTTGCAGCCCGGTGGAGGGAAGCAGGGTGCAGCACTAGGGCCGCATTCCACCTCCCTCCACTGGGCTCAGCAGCCCACAGTCCCATGGAATCAAGCCCAGTGGCAGGAGGCAGAGTGCAGTGCTGGCTCTGCCTGCCCCCTGCCACTGGGCTGAGCTCCATGGAGCTGGTGGAGCTGATCAGAGCACAGGCAGGAGGTGGGGAGAGCTAGGGCTGTGCCCTCCCCCAGGCTGTGCCACATGGGGCTGTGGAACTGCTCAGAGTGCAGCCCTGGCTCTCCCCTGACTCCCACCATCTGGCTGCTGCTTCAAAACTGGGAAGTCTTTGGCTGGCCTCATCTCATTTCCAGACAGTTTCAAAGCCCTTTGTTTCAATTTTGCTGTTTTGAGCTCCAAATGAGTCAAAACAGCATCAACCTGAAACAGCTGTTGAAGCTTCAAACAGCCATAATGTTCACTGCTCTTCCCACATCCACAAAACCAGTCATTTCATCAGAGAAGGCAATGAGGTTGGTCAGGCCTGACTTGCCCTTGCTGAATCCATTCCAACTGTTCCTAATCACCTTCTTCTCCTCCAGGTGCTTAGAAATGTAGACGAGATGGGACTGAATGATCTCATAAATGCATTTTTTCTCTCACTTCTTTGCTTGCATACATCTTTTTCCATCACTTATCAGTACTTCTCATATGTAAAACCCATTTTCAGTTATAAGGGTGATGTAGCTGTGATCTTCCAGAAATTATGCAAGAGGCAAGAACTTCTTAGGGTAATATTCTTTATTAGACCAACTAGGTGAGATAGGTGTAGGTGAGATAACAAACTTTCAAATGCATTCTACCTTAGGTCTAAAGAGTGCCTTGCATTCAAAAGTGTGTCTTTTTTTTTTTTTTAATGCAACAGTTTGTCCAGTAAAAGAGATCACTCTAAGGCCCCTGCTACATGTTGCATGTATTATGTCTACTGGTTAACTGCACAATAAATTTAGATAAGCCATACATACAAGGTAATTATTACACTGTAAAAATGACTATCCAGCTATAAAAAACCCAGCCAGCTATAAAGTTAGTGCTCAAAAGTGTGCAACAACTCTACAGCTGGTTTCTATCCAGCTTTAATTTGAACATGTAGCAGGGACCTAAGAAATCCCATAACATTTTAAACTCTCCCCTGTAAGTAGGATCTCTTGCCACAGGAGGGCACCAGACACTATAATACATCATATTCTTATTAACTGTCTAGACTCTAATTATGATATGTTCCAATCCAAGGCAGAGACAAGCTGATTAAAAAAAAAAAACAAAACAAAAAAACCTCAAAAGATATGCCAGGTGCAGTATTCCTTGTGTAATTTTATTTTTATATTAAATTGAGTTTTCCACTCCCCCATGTTGGTAGAATGTAAAGGTATAAAAATCAGTGTGGCAGTGGCATGTTCAACAGAACTTTAATCGTTCTCATCCAGATGGTTCCTAACAGTGGGTTCACAAGCAAAGGAAGGGCCATTTCACACAGCTGTGGCACATCAGCCCACGAGCGGCGCTGATAACCAATACTTTAAAGTAAAAGATCCAGCAATCAGAAGCAGGGCAGCAATCCTGCAGTTGTATATCTCCAGAGTTAGTTTGCAAACCTTCATTTCCACAGGGTTTAGGGAACCAAATCTAATAATTTGACTGGGTTCTACAGTATTGACTTGAGGAAAGCATAGGGACAGAGAGAACGTGGACAGTCAGGTAGCCGCTGGAATTTTAGAAGGAAAGAAATGAATCTCCCCTCTCTTCTTCTGGTGGAAAGAGTTGAGGGATTTTTGAGTTTTAGAACTTCACACATGGAGTGGGCAGTAGATACAGGGTCCTATTTCCATTTACGTACCATCTGACTGGTCATTTGATAGAGGAATAGCATTCCTACATTTCTGAATGGAAGCAGACCAGATGATCCTAGAGGTCCCTTCCATGCCTGTGATTTTATATTGCACCTCTACCCAAAATGGATAAGCACATTTCTGTAGATTCTGTGTCTGATGGGAAACAGGTAATACCTGTGAACCCATCTATTGTTAAGTCTAAATGTCAAGACACTTTCAAAAATATTTGGAATAATTAATGTTGTTTACATATTTAAGAAGTCAACTCTGGTAATGTTTGCATTCTTGTACATTTATTTCCACAACCATAATGGCTAAAAACAAAGTTTTAAATAAAAATCTTACATTCTGCACCCACTTAGTGGTCCCAAGAACAAACAATGCTTTGGTCATTATTAACAGCTGTAAATTATCTTTTCCCTCTTCATACTAAGGGCAGATTACTCAAAGATAAACTTCCATAGACAGCAATAGGCTGACTTGTAGCAATCTATTCACTTACATTTTTTCAGCAGTATAATAAAAATGGGGGAAGAATCAGTTGTTATAACACACACACACACACACACAGTGTTGTTTGGACAGAGTAAAAAAGCTGATCCCTGCAAGTCTGCCAGATGCAGAATTTGCTTTAACTGGACCCAAACAAAAACCTTGGATCCAAAAATCCCCTAATGTACAGGAAAGTATGGATTGGCACTTTCTGGCATTAAAGCCCTCTCTTCTGTTTAGAATGCCATGAGCAAATACAATATGCTTTAGGTGCTGTTTTAAAATCAGATGAGGCTCTAGATTTCACCACTGCAAATATGAATTTTACACTTGAAGCCTAACTGCATGGGAAAACCAAAAAGAACAAATAAGCAATGTTTGTCCTCAGTGAAAATGGTTTCAGGGTTTCAGTTTCATTGTAGTAGCTGGAAACAATTCACAAAGTAAACTTAAAGATCAGCCACTCAAATGACCTGACATTTTGCTTGTCCCTGAAGAAGTGACAGAGGCAGAAAAGAGGCACATACCATATGTATTTGCAAATAAGTGTAAAAAAGCAAAAAAGAAATGTATCAGTAAAGGCTGGTCTTCTTCATGATCCGCAGAAATTCCTGCTCATTCACTTCCCCATCTCCATCTCTATCTGCTTCATCGATCATTTCCTGCAGGAGGGTAAAAATTCAGTGACTAGATTAGATAAGCTCATTAATGTATACTATTGAGAAGGAAATGGAATGGAAAAGATTCAGGCTTTCATTACAACAAGCTTCAAACTGACAACTCTGACAAAGTTACCACAGGAGAGTAGAGGAAACTGGCGGGAATGGAAAAACTAAGGGCGGAGGGAAATAAATAATTTAAGTAAAGTTCAGCACTCTCTTACGTTCCAAGTATAATTTGTGTATTTGTACATTACGGGCTTGATCTTTGGGTTTAGGTAAACTGCCCAACACAGGGAGGGCCAGGATTTATGAAGAGACGAATGGCAAAAGATCTACTGGATACTGTAGCCTCATCCCTTTAAAACAGAACATGTTCATGGAACAAGATTTTACTGCAAAGCACTTGGAGTCTGTACACTCTGGCAATACAGATATTGTAGCAGTTTTATGTCATTTAAAAATAAGAAACTGAATAATACAATCAATGCCTATGTACATAATATACATAGACAAACTCACATAAAAGTACAAACCTGCAGTTCCTCATCCGTGAGATTTTCCCCGAGCTCTTTGGCTACACGCTTAAGATTCTTGAAAGAGATTTTGCCAGTCTCATCATCATCAAACAGTTTGAAGGCTTTCAGAATCTCCTCTTTAGAATCTTTCTCAGCCTTAAAAAATTAAACATGCAAATTCCCAGAAAAATGTTGTTAATGGGTAGTTGCAACCAAAAATTCTTATCAGTAACTTAAGAATAAAAAATGTTCATGAAAGCAAATGCATTGAGTTTCCTGTGTTTATAACAACATTAAATTTTAAAGAAACCCAGTGATCAGGAAATACACCGTACTAAGTGAAAACATATACACAGTCTTATTGCTGCACGTGCAGCAGTGTGCTCTAAACGTCACTTGTTTGTTCTTTTCACATCTGGAAACAGATCTTTGGATGAGTAACCAGTTTTTCAGTATTAAGCTACAATGTTTTTCAAATGTACAGACTACAGTTGTTAATATCTTAAAAACTGGAAAGTCCTCAACTCCATTACAACAACTGTAACACTCATCCACACACTTTATCACAACTTATCACTTTTCAGTAATCAAAACTATTTTTCCTTTCACTTATGTAGTCCTAATAGCATTACTTTCTTTTTCACTCCTCTCTCACTAAAACTGGGGTTGACAACTTATGGCCTATTGGCAGATCCCACCCATAGAGCCTTTTGATCTGGCCTTCAGACATGGGGCTTCAGTGGCACTGGGTGGTAGTGGGGCTTTGACAGCAATCACTCTCCTTAAGAAGGCAAAGGGAAAAACGGGGTGGGTGCTTTCCCTGTGCAGGACAGAAAGAAGGGGCAGTGGAAGCTGTATTCTAGTACCTACCCCACCACCCACCTCTGAGCTGAACAGATCAATTCAGCCCACAGGTTTACAAGGTTGCTGACCACTGCTCTAAAAATATCCTATCAGAAAGTCAGATCTTGGTAATTAGTGAAAAGATTCTTCATTCTTTAAACCTTCCTTCAGAAGTTCTGGTAGGATGGTTCCAGTTTTGCAATCATAACTTTTGCATACTTGGTTGCCAAGATTAAGCAAGGAAATTTCAAGTCCTTTAAATTTCCCACTGAAGTCAGTAGGGGATGAAAGACATCTAGCAACTTGCAAAATTGACTCCACTACGACTGAGTGATTTACTTACCATTTTTTGAGTCATCACTGCCAGAAAGTCATTGAAGCTGATTTTTCCTGTTCCTTCCTTATCAATGTCTGATATCATTTTCTTGATCTCTTCTTTCTTGGGTTCAAACCCTAGTGCTCTCATGGCCACCTGCAAACAGTTAAAATAGATCAGCATGTGGTGGGCAATGTAGACAGAAGCATGGAAAATAATGTTAACTGTATGCCACATGGTAGCTAAATCAGGTATTTCATGTCTCAGTGCAAAAAGCAAGATTGAAGAGCAAGTGATGAAGCAACATTTTTCTGAACACACTGATAAACACAACATGACACTGAAAAAACAGCACCCAACAGCCACCCATTTGGATAGCACACGCATGCCGTGGACATGCTCTAGAGAATACTTTCCACCACCCTGGTCCAGTGGCAAGGTACCAGTGTGAATACTCAGAGACGTTGATTCTAAGGACTCTCTTCTCCCATAATAAAGAAATCCAACAAACTAGTGACCCATGCTACATATGGAATTGCTCCTCTGGGCCATGAGGTACTTCACCTTACTTCTTTAGCTTTTTATTTAAGGCACTAGCCAATTGTCTGTCAAGAATGACGGGGGATGGGGGGATGGAGGGAGTGGGCAGGGACAGAGCCCTGGGCCCCACCCCCAATTGAGGCCCACTCCCCCTTGCCTTCTGCTGCTTGGGGTCTAGGCCCACTCCCCGCCACAGCAGTGGGGGGAAGGGAGGAGCAGGCCTGGCCCAATGCAGGGGAGGACGAGGCCCAGGGGTGGGGAGAAGCTGGGCTGCCACAGCAGGGCACCAAGGGGTAGCAGAAGGCCCAGGTCGACCCGGCAGCAGTGGGGGAACAGGAGGAGCAGGTTCGGGGATGACGCAGGGGAGCGGGGGTGGGGGAGGAGTGGGACCGTGTTCCCCCCGCAGCTGCCGTGTTGGGCCGGGCTGGGCCCGCTATCCCCTCCCCAATGCCACAGTAGGCCAGCTTTTCCCCTGGCTTGGGCTCTTTTCCCCCCCACCTCCCCCCGGGCCAGGCGGACATGAGGGAGGAGTGAGCCCAGGCCCAATGTAGGGAGAGGTCCACTCCTTCCCTCCCCCAGCTGCTGCATCAGGCCAGACCCGCTGTTCCCCTGCCCCCCTGCTGCTGCGAGCTGGCTCCCCACCCCACCCCCTGCTCAGGGGACTGTCAGCCAATCAGAGCGCGAATAAAGTGTTACAGACAGACAGATTTTTATATTAGAATTAGGTTTAAAGATAGCTATCCAATCTCTGGAAGTGGTTCTATACATAAGACACAGATATTAACTATTTTTTTCTTTTAAGTATGTTATATAGCAGTATCCAAGCTTATGAAGATTTTAAAATATCATTTTTAAGCATCTGAATACAACCTGAGGTCATTTTGGAAGATATAAGGCATGCTGGGTTTTTTACATTCTGCGTTAGGAGTAGGATAGACATTCAAGAGGGAAAAGTGTAAGGTTTGACAAAAAAACAGAACAGATGGGCACAACCATCTTATCACTATGAAAACCAAATATAAAAGGGAAAATACAGAGCACTTTTCCATTGTCTTTGGCACAATTACCATCTGAACACTGCCTTAATAAAGAACCACACATCTACTAAAAGGAGAGCCAAATTCAGATTTCCTGGAGGCAAAAGAAATTACTGGGAGGCACAGAAAACTCAAGAAATATAACCCCAAGGGGAAAAAAAAAAATCTTACTATATACCACATACTGTACTGGACTCCAATCTACTAGTCCCTTCAATTCAATCAGGAGAGCAGCTTAAGCCCTGAGGATATTAGGCATAAGGCCTGTGACAGAACATGTTCAGCAAGGATTCCGGGCCATCTGGAAATTTCCTCTGTTAGACAAGCATCTGGTTTTTCCCTTGTCTCACTCTGTAGACCAGTGGTTCTCAATTTTTTTTAGACTAGAGGCACCTGAGGCACTAGTCAATAGACTCAAGACACCCCTTGTAAAATGCCAGCTCTTAGGTTTTACTCATTTTTTACTACAGAAAAATAATAGAGCAATTCTTCTGTTGCAAACAACTCAGGACCACAACAGGTCAGAATGTTCATAACACTACGTATTCCTATTCAAAGTTTCTGGGTTTATCTTGTGAATCATGTTTGCACACCTGTTCTAGCATTGTGTGGTACCCCACAGCATCCTTGAAAAGATCTTAACGCACCCTACAGTGCCACAGCACCTTGGTTGAGAATCACTATTGTAGAAGTTGCTCCCAATACTGCTGGATTCCACATAAACGAGAGTTATTTCTATAGGTGTAGAAGTCAGTGATTGTAAGGTCTCCTTAGGAGTGTGCTACTGCGGTACATAATGGGAGTCATTATCTTCAGTCTAAGGCGGCACCAAGAAGTACTTAATATCTATTCTGCAAAATAACTAGGTCACAAAAATGAATTAAACTGATATTTTTAACAGACTTAGCATGACTTCCATAATGGTACGATCATTAATAAGAAAAATGCAGGTTTCATAATGGATAAAAACCTTTTAACCTTTTACCAACATATACAGAGTTGATGAGACCCTATTACTACCTTTTGAGTTTTTGTTAACCTAGATCTCCAATGGGAGAAAGGGACAGTCGCAACATAAGTCTTTGGTTCTGTGGCGATGAAAAGGTTTTATACTGGAAAAGGATGAAAATCACCCTTCCCCAGCCTCTAAACCTCTCTCTCCATCTGCAATTTAAAACTCAATTCATTTACACTTTTCTGCTAAGAAGTCTTGCCTTTAGCTCTTTCACATCTATGTTCCCAGTGCCATCGGTATCAAACAGATCAAATGCTTCTCGGATCTCCTGCTTTTGGTCTTCAGTAAGTTCGAGTTTGGGACCCGTCTTCTTTCTCTGGGCTGCTCCCCCTAATGCAGATTTCTTGAAGCTGGAAGCCTTGGAACACACACGAGAGCACAGGAGAAGAATCAGATTCCAACAGCAGGCAAAAGAGCCTTGTTTACACTTTCACAGTTCCACTCAAAAGGCCAGGATTTCTTAGGATGATATCTTTTATTGGAACAACTCTGTAGCTGGGATAAAGTCAGACAAGCTTTTGAATGTAATACAATCCCCTCAGCTCTCCGATTACAGGACACCGGGCACAGCAAGTGAAGCAAGGCACAGGGGGGCGACTGAGCAAAATTCTCAGATGCAGCAGAGCTCAGTTACAGCAGCAGAGTCCCTTCCCTGTTCCAGCTGTTGCAACACTGCTCCAACTGAAGAAAGACTTCTGCTACGGCCTGGAGCTGGTGGAAGGCGGGGGGGGGGGAGTTGCAGGAAGGACAAGGAAACACTCTCATGCCTTCCACTGCATGCCACAACTCCTTCAGCAGCTGCTGCCTTCCTACGATGACCTACAGGCCATGTCGGCACAGCTACTACAGTGATCGTAGGGGTCATAGGAAAGTTGGGCTGGAAGAGACCTCACAAGGTCACCTAGTCCAGCGGTTCTCAACCCATGGGTCACGACCCAAAACGGTTGCCAGAATATATGAAAGGGTTGCAAACAAACTTTAAAAGTGGATTCTTTGTTAAAGGAGAAAAGCGTGGGAAACTGTGGGTTTTCCCTTGCAGGCTAGCAGAGTCCCAGCCCGCAAGGGGCTGCTTGAGGCCCCCCCATGCCCCACGCACTGCGGGGCTGGGGCTGGGCAGCAGCAGGTCAGGAGTGAGGGGCACGGGGTCAGGACTGGCCATCAACATTTGCAAATGGGTCCTGGTACAAAAAAGGTTCAGAGGCACTGGTCTAGTCCAGCCCCCTGCTCAAGGCAGGCACCGTCCCACCCAGTGCCTGTCCCACCGCCTCCT